TCTCTCTCTCTCTCTCTCTCTCTCTCTCTCTCTCTCTATAGGTTGTGTAGTGCTCGTTCGCTCTGGTATCGTCAGGTCATGTGACGTCATCCTCCCCCTCTCAGCCCATTCCGTCTGGTGGGACCGACTCTGACTCATATCTCCCTCCTCTGCTGTTCTTTCAATCCATCCCTCCTTCCCTTCTCTCATTATTGGTTTCCTCACTCGCTCCGTCCTTCAGTCTGTTCTGTCGCTCGCCGCACGATCTGTTAAAGCAGGGAATCCTTCGGTGACGCATTTTCCTTGCAGTTCAGCGCGTTACAGAGATCTGACCATCAATGAGCATTCACACACACACACACACACACACACAGGGTGTTACCTTCTAGGGGTGCTCCGATTGATCGGCTACCGATCACTATCGGCCGATAATCACTTTGGGATGTTTGATCGGCCGCCTCTAAAAAGGCAGATCTCAAAAAACCTGACGACGTGACATGCAGCGGCTCTCTGTCCGGCACGGGTGAAATAATTATAATGCTGAAGGTGAGTCTCTCTTTCAGTCTGTTTTGAGTGAATCTCATGAAAACATGCCCTGCTCACATTTCATCTGCATTTACATTTTTGCATTTAACAGATCAAAAGCAATTTGTCAAAGAGCCAACAATATTCATTATATACAATTGCAGGTTTATTACACAACTAGAATCTATAAGAAATGATGTTATGCATTAGGAAAATGAATCGTTTATGTGACCATTGAGATGTTTTTATAGCATGACATTATTTTGCATATTTTTCTCATTCATATTGGTCTTAAAATAGGCTTTATTGTTTTCATACAATATGCAATTTTCATTTCACTTTGGGCTGAAATGTGGAATTCACACATCAAAGACGCATTTTGACATTTTAAGATGTTTGTTAAAACATTTTGACCTTTTTTATGTTTCACACTGCATTTCTCAAATAAATCCGTTGTCTTCATGTTAAACAGTGATGGGCTTTTCTCACAATGGACTGAGTTATTTTTCTGTTTTTAGCTTTAGGTGTTTTAATCTGGCTTTCGTATATGTATATTTTTCTCCTTGGTTAGTATTTTAAATGGCTTGCATTAAACAACTAAAACCCAAAAACTATATTTTAAGAACAAAATCATGATGCATCTTCGCTGCCATGCAGATGCCATAAATAAATAAATGAATAAATAAATATATTTTTATTGTAATTTATTTATATTATGCATTTATATATTTTTAATTGTTTATGTTAAAAAATAATGCAAAATTCTAATTCAATGGCCTTTAAAATTTCCCACCCACCATTGACTGTTATTTTTGGAGTTTAATTGGGTGAATATAAATGAAAATATTATCATTTTTCCATGTGTTCACATTGTAAACTGTATGTAAAACATGGCCTAATTATTTTACTATATTGGATGCTTTTGTTACTTCTTAAAGATATAATTATTGTATTGAACTATTTTCTTGGATATATGCTTGTACCGCAGCGAACGAACACGCTGAGGTAATTTGACACAATGGAGTGTGTTGTCATCAAAGCGGTCTTAACTGGGTTACTGTGTGTGTGTTTGTGTGTGTGTTTGTGTGTGTGGCAGCACATGTGTGCACAGCTGCTCCGGTGTGTTGTATAATATGCCAGTGTATGACAGATTCGACTTTATTTTTATCCGGCACCATTAAGGTGGTCCGGCTGAGCGATGTGCTCCACTTTACACCTTGAAGACATTAGTGTTTGCCTTATATTCATGTTTAAATCTCTCTCTAGCACAAGCAGCTGAGGCTGACGTCTTCGTCTCCTTGGCAACCGAGAGAGAGAGAACGAGCGACGGCTCATTCATGAATGCTCTTCTCCCTCATTCAGAGCTCTTCATCTGCTTCAGTTGATTCTTAAGGATGGCTGCAGTGTGTGTGTGTGTGTGTGTGTGAGAGAGAGAGAGGCACACATTCTATGGAGAGAAAACAGAACCTCAGTACCTGATGAACTCGTCTCTGCAGTGCCCGTATGTGTGTGTGTGTGTGTGTGTTTGAGAATGATTGGTCGGCGGTGTCATGTGCTGCTGGTGACGTGGTTTCTGCAGTCGGGAATCCCAGCTATCTGAGCGCGCTCAGTCGCTCTCTCCACCCGTCTACTTCAGTCTCTGCAGTATGACGTCAGCGCTGGAGTTTCCTCCGCTCTCTCGCCTCAGTCACTCCGCTGCTGCATTATGCGCTTCGACTTGTGCTTTTAAAAGCATTTCCAGTGTGTGTGTGTGTGTGTGTGTGTGTGTGTGTGTGTGTGTGTTTTACAGCAGATGGCAAGTTACTCAAACTAGAACCTAGTGCACAAACTGTCCCTCCATCCCCCCCCACACACACACACACACACACTCACACTCGCACATACTCTCTCTCTCTCTCTCTCTCTCTCTCTCTCACACACACACTCACTCACTCACTCACTCACTCACTCACACACACACACACTCTCACACACACTCACTCACACACTCACTCACACTCGCACATACCCTCTCTCTCACACACACACACACACACGCACAGACATTCACTCTGTAACGAAATTAACTCATTTGTAAGGGAATTAATCATTTACATCGTTTACTTGCGTTTTGCTTTGGGTGACAGCTGAAAAGCTGAGATGATTCGTTGCTGACACAGGCTTCCTGGATGGCTGCTGAGGGAACCCCAGAGCTTTCGGATTGGTCGCTGAGTTGACGTTTGGATGACATCGTTTCGGGAAAGAC